AGACATTTTGGGGAGAATACACTGACCACCAGCAATGAAAGGAGCCCCGACTCACATCTGTGATGGCCTTCTTGGCCTTCTCTTCAGCATTGCGGGCTTCCTGGATGGTATCCTCCATTTCGCTCTGAATCTGAGAAATGTCCGTCTCCAGCTTCTTCTTGGTGTTGATCAAGCTGGTGTTCTGTGCAATAGGAAAGACAGGAATTGTGCTGTCAGTCCAAATGCCTGCACATCACAGCCTGAAAGTGCAAGTAGAGTTTAGGAAAGTCTTTAATGCAAGAGGCTTGCATTATACCAGGCATTGGGGGGTGCTGGCTGGAGGGGACAGTACATTTCAGTGTTTACACAGTAATCACTTACAAGGTGGGGGGACAATCTCCCTCCTTTTTATCCTTTGTGGATGGGATTAATTTCCAGCAGTGCCTGACCTGGGTATGGAGGAGCTGCGCACGTTCAGTGGCATCCAGGAGCTCCTGCTCAGCCAATTTCCTCGACCGCTCCGTCTGCTCCAGGGCTGCCCGTAGCTCCTCCACTTCAGCCTGCAGCAGGTTTGCTCTGCGCTCCACCATGGCCACCTGCTCCTTCAGGTCATCCTGGGTCCTGATAGCATCGTCCAAGTGCAGCTGGGTGTCCTGTAAGAGAGACAAGAGGAGTGACAAGGCATCAGTGTGTGTTTGAGGGCCAAAAATATCAGGGATCTCTCTCTCAGTAGCTTTGCTGAACAGACCTTGAGCACAGCCTGGGTGTTTCTCAGGTTCTTTTGTGCCTCGGCAGCCTGGCGGTTGGCATGGCTGAGCTGGATCTCCATTTCATTCAGGTCTCCCTCCATCTTCTTCTTCAGCCTCAGGGCTTCATTCCTGCTCCTGATCTCAGCGTCCAGGGTGCTTTGCATGGAGTCCACAATTCTGAGGTGGTTTCTCTTCAGCTGGTCGATCTCCTCATCTTTCTCTGCTATCTTCCTGTCAATCTCAGACTTCACCTGGTTGAGCTCAAGCTGCAGGCGCAGGATCTTCCCCTCTTCATGTTCCAGAGAGGCCTGGATATTCAGCAGCAACAGTGACTTAGACAACCACTTACTTTCAAAGCAATCTTTAATGGGGGTCTAA